ACAGTACAGTACAGTACAGTACAGTACAGTACAAGGTTTTTAATATGTATACGAAACAAAATACTTCACAGGAAGAAATATACAGACAGTTCAAAGCGGAACACTTAACACAAGAAATTGTGCAAGGGCAGCATACATCAAAGGATCAGGTTTACAGGCTGCGTATACAATTTTCGTGAAGTTTGAATTTCAAGGATAGTGGTCCATGCAAAGATCTAAGGATGATCTTGACATATTCTTTATTTAGTGATGATTAAATTAAACAACGACATATTCGATCCCATACTGAAGTATTGGTAATGACATTTCAATATTCGAAGTATATCCCAAAGACTTCGTGCGCTAATATTCCACTGTCACTGACCCTCACTGATTTACACATTCGACCAGCGCATTCAAAAAATATAATACAAACTTATATATTACACACTCATATATTATAGTTACACATTCGACAAATATATTTCACAGACCGTGCAGACCTAACCCAATTCCAATGACGTACTCGACTCGATTCTATATATACAGTATATGTTCGTCAACATTCCTTCGAAACAATTGTTTTTAAAGTTTTATATCTTTAGTTACTTTTAACCTGAAGCATAGTTATTAAAATAATCTTTTTGTACTAAACCTATATGGTCTAATTATATTCAAACATAGAATTTTTCAGTCTGATGTCAGCATTTTTACCCGTAATTTCTACCCGTTTCCCCGCGGTAAACCGTGGTCTACACGTAAAAGCTAAACGGGTGTAACCAAATTCTGCCCAGTGGTTACTGTAGACTAGAAGTTACTATCGCAAAGAAAGTGCTGCCTCACCCCGCCTTCCATCACATAAGCACGTAAAGCATCCCTAAAGGCCCATCTACACGATACGACTAGCCATATATGTTAAAAGGACTACAAGTCTGTATTAAGCTGAATTAAGTTCTAGTTTAATACTAAAAGGCGGCCTTCACGCCATGCTTTTTAAGAACAACAACTTACGCATGCGCGCCCGCTAGGACTCCCGACTACGGGCTCAAAACCAAATATCAACATCTCCCTATTTTTACAAAAAGGCATATATATATATATATATATATATATATATATATATATATATATATATATATATATATAACCACTAAAAGTGAATGTACTGTGATAGTTCCTTTGATGCTAGACTGCAGATTACTATAAGTTTCTGTATCGTGTCCGAATAAATTCCGAATACCTACAGTATATATCTAATGTCTATCTCAATCATTAATATTGTAATAAAACTTTAACATACTGTATAGTCTTTCGTCCAGTGGGGCTTTTGTCTTGCTCGTTGTGGTCTTGCTTGTACCTCTGCTTCTCCCTTGTTGTCTTTACTGTTATCTTTGTTCACTTCACTTGTCGTGGGGCGTATATGAACTCGGTTTCTTCTATATACACCATTCTTTCCTTCAATGATATACGATCGTTCACTATGTTTGGCACGTACTTTTCCTCTTCTCCAGTCATACTTCTTTCCTTCTGTGTGTTGGTAGTACACCGGCTGCCCAGGTGACAGTTGTTTCAGGTCTCGAGCGCCTTTGTCATAACTTTGCTTAACCAGAAGGCGGTGTCTGGCTCTCTTCTGTGTTGCATTTCTCGCCCGTTCTGATTTTGTGTTCGATATGGCTGGTAGGAATGATTGTGTTGCTCGATCAAACATCATTTTAGCTGGATTTGTCCAGTACCCTGGCGTGGCGTGTTTCTCAGTTCGAGTAAAGCCTCATATTGATCAGTGTTGTCCCGCAGTGACTTCTTCATCATTAGCTTTATAGTTTTAACCGCAGCTTCCGCTTTTCCATTCGATTGGTGATGGAGGGGTGACGATGTTACATGCTTAATTCCCCAGTGTTTGGTGAAGGTCTTGAACTCGGAGGAAATAAATTGTGAACCACAATCAGTTACCATTTCACTTGGTATGCCATATCTTGCAAAATGTCCTTTGAGTTTGGTGATTATCTGTTTACTTGTGGCAGTGCTTAGGTGGTCAACTTCTATGAAACCCGAGAAATAGTCAACCGTGGCTAGATAATCTCTTCCCTTGATCTCGAAAAGGTCAATTCCAACCTTATTCCAAGGTACTTGTCCTTCCTCGTACTGTTTTAATGGCTCTTTCTGGTTTTGTGGTTTGTATTGCTGGCAAGCCTCACAGTTCTCTGCTAGCTGTCGTACTTCTTTTGCCATTCCGGGCCAAAATATGGTGTCTCGAGCTCGTCTCATCATACTATCGTATCCCAAATGTGCAGAGTGCAATCGTTTCTTTGTGGTGTCACGGAGCGATGCTGGGATAACTATTCTTTCTCCCTTTAGGATAATTCCATTTTGATGGCTCAATGTGTCTCGCACATCAAAATATGGCCTCAGATCATTTTGTACGTCCTTCTTGCTTTCTGGCCAACCATCTTTTATAGTGCTCAACAGGGACTGCATACATTGGTCCTGTGCGGTAGCCGCTTGTACCTCCCGGATTCGCTCATCTGGCACTCCTTTCAAAGCGTTTACTTTCATGACTCTCACCTGTGCGTCAGGAATATCAAGAAAAGCTCGGCTGAGGGTGTCGGCAATAACGAGTTGACTTCCTTGAATGTAGTGAAATTCAATGTCATAGCGATGAACTCGTAGCATCAGTGCTTGTAGTCGTTTTGAGGTCTGGCTCAGAGGTTTCTTCAGGATTGAGGTCAGAGGCTTGTGGTCATTCTGTACTATGACTTTTCTTCCATACGTATATTGGTCAAATCGTTCAAGACCGAACACCACAGCTAGGGTTTCTTTTTCAATTTGTGCCCAATTCCGTTCAGCAGGAGTCAGTGCTCTTGAGGCGTATTCAATTGGTTTGCCATCTTGCATCAGTGCCGCTCCGAGTCCATCTTTACTGCTGTCTACTTGCAATAGTAGCTCCTTGTTCGAGTCAAAGTATGCGAGCAAAGGAGTGTTTGTGATCTTTTCCTTGACCTTCTGGAATGCTTCTTGACACTCTGTTGACCAGTTCCACTCCACATCCTTCTTGGTCAGCTCTCGAATGGGTTGCAAATCACCAGCAAGGTTGGGCAGAAACTTAGCCAGATACTGAATCATTCCACATAGCCGCTTCACTCCATGTACATCTGTGGGGGCCGGCATGTCAAGGTAGCCTCTACCTTTGACTTGTCTGCTTTTACTCCTTCATTGGTGATAAGATGGCCCATAAACTTGATTTCTGTCTGCTTCAGGACAGTTTTCTCATCATTCAGCTTGACTCTCTTTTATGCGCATCTTTCTTGCAGTGCCAGGAGGTTCTGCTCATGATCAGCATCAGCTTCTTCTCTTGTGTTGCCACTCCCATACACAACCAGATCATCTGCAATGCATATCACACCATTGAGACCAACAAGTGCCTCATTGAGCTTTCTTTGAAATATCTCACTGCTGACCTTGAGCCCAAATGGGAGCCGGGCCCATCTGTATCGTCCAAATGGTGTAATCATGGTGGTGAGTAAGCTAGATTCATTGTCCAGTTGGACATGCCAGTAGGCTTGTTTCACGTCGAGTTTGCTAAATACTCGTGCTTGGCTGAGACTAGGTAGAACATCATCTAGTGTTGGTAGCTTGTAGTGCTCTCTTTGCAGGGCTGCATTTAATGGTTGTGGGTCAATACAGATTCTCAAAGATCCGTTTGGTTTCTTTACAACTGCCATTTGGCTTACCCAAGCAGTTGGTTCTTCCACAGGCACCAGTACGCCAGCTTCAACTAAGTGGTTAAGTTCCTCCTTAACATTCTCTTGCAATGCTTGTGGCAGTTTCCTACATGGAAGTGCTCTTGGTGGGACATTTGGATCAACATGTAGTTGTGTTTCTCCCAACGATCCTAACTGATTAGCGTCAGTGCTTATATGGGCTATGAAGTTGCCATCATTGATTGTAAGTAGTCCCATTTGTTGTATAGTTGACAGTCCCAGAAGACAGCTATAATCGTTTGGGACAACAATAAAATCGACCACGGTTTCTTCCTCATTCTTTGGGTTTGTGACCTTCAAGGTAGTTTCTCCCAATGGGTTGACCTTGGACTTGTTCCACATGATTAATTTCTGTGTGGTGGGTTCCACCTGTGTTGGTGGTACAAATTTTTGGCACAGTGTGTTCACATCGGCTCCAGTGTCAAGCTGAAATCTGACGTCACAGTCATTTACTTGCATCAGAGCAGTGGCACGGGTTTTGTTGGGAACTTCCACAGTTGCAAGCCAGTTGGTATCGGAGTCATCAGATGCATCAGAGTTGCTCTTTGTCTCTAGTGTGTGTACTTTCTTGCACTTGACTTCAAAATGGTTTCTGCCTTTACAATGGTTACAGAGCTTTCCCCAGGCGGGACACTTTGTCTTAATGGCTTCATGAGACTTTCCACAAAAATTGCACTCCTTCAGGATGTGAGGGTTATTCCTGTTCTTTTGTTGTTCAGCATGTTGTTTTGATGGATACTTTGAGTTTTTCATGCCAGCTATCTGCTCAATCTTCTGTAGTTGACTGCTTTCACTCATTTCCTTTTTATTTCTCGAGGTGATCTCATAGGCTCTGCATATTTCTACAGCTTTCTTTAAGTCTAAACTAGTCTCTCGTAATAACAGTTCTTGTTGCTTACCGGTTACAGTGAAGACTATCTTGTCTCGTATCATTCTTTCTTTTTCCTTGAAATTGCATGAATCAGCGTAAGAGTACAACTTTGTTAGGAATGTGTCAAAAGGTTCTTGGAAGGGTACTTGCCAAAAGCGAAAGGATTGCAGAACTTCATTTTGTCGTGGATTGCAATATTCCTCTAATTTTTCGAGCACATTAACAGGATCATTTTTGTCATTTTCTCCTTCAAATTCAAAATGATCATAAACCTCAAGGACTTGCGGGCCTGCACAGTGTAATATAATATCCGTTTGTCGCTGCTTCGGCTTGTTATTATTCCCACTAGCTTCCATATAAACTTGTAACTGACGTTTCCATTTCTTAAAGCTATCTGCCAGATTACGGTCTGTCAGATCGAGCGATGAAGGTAGATGAAATTGCACGTGCTATTTCCATTTAAATAAATATAGATACTCACAAAATACTAAGGATCTTTAAGAATATATCGCTGCCACCATGATAAAAGGAATACAAGTCTGTATTAAGCTCAATTAAGTTCTAGTTTAGAGTAATGTCCAATACAGGCATCTGATGTCTGATGGTTAAGATGGTGAACCGTGGTGTATGATGGTTGAAGTGTGTCAGATGGTTGTCAGATGGTGTATGATGGTGTATGATGGTCGAAGTGTGTCAGATGGTTGTCAGATGGTGTATGATGGTGTATGATGGTCGAAGTGTGTCAGATGGTTGTCAGATGGTGTATGATGGTGTATGATGGTCGAAGTGCGTCAGATGGTTGTCGGATGGTGTATGATGGTGTAGGGTGGTTATACAGGGAAGAGTTGTCAGATGGTGAAGATGGTACAGATGGTGTATGATGGGCGAAGTGTGGCAGATGGTTCTCAGATGGTGTATGATGGTGTATGATGGTCGAAGTGTGTCGGATGGTGTATGATGGTGTAGGGTGGTTATACAGGGAAGGGTTGTCAGATGGTGAAGATGGTACAGATGGTGTATGATGGTCGAAATGTGTCAGATGGTTGTCAGATGGTGTATGATGGTGTAGGGTGGTTATACAGGGAAACGTTGTCAGATGGTGAAGATGGTACAGATGGTGTATGATGGTCGAAATGTGTCGGATGGTTGTCAGATGGTGTATGATGGTGTATGATGGTAGAAATGTGTCAGATGGTTGTCAGATGGTGTATGATGGTGTATGATGGTCGAAGTGTGTCAGATGGTTGTCAGATGGTGTATGATGGTGTAGGGTGGTTATACAGGGAAGCGTTGTCAGATGGTGAAGATGGTACAGATGGTGTATGATGGTCGAAATGTGTCGGATGGTTGTCAGATGGTGTATGATGGTGTATGATGGTCGAAGCGTGTCAGATGGTTGTCAGATGGTGTATTATGGTGTAGGGTGGTTATACATGGAAGAGTTGTCAGATGGTTATATTAGATATTACATTGCTATATTTTACTATTACTTACATACACTTTAGCCAACTATGGTATGTGTATAAAAATATAATGTTATATCTAACATTAATTGCGGTTCTCGTGTGGGAAACGTAATTCAAAGTATCAGGCAAAATATATATTTAAACACATTTGACAGACATGTTCGACGTTAATGTATTTAAACGCATTTGACAGACATGTTGGAGGTAATAAATAAAAATATAATATGAATATATGATATCTCACAATGCGGTTCTCATGTGGGAAACGTAATTCAAAGTATTGGGCAAAATATCACATTTGACAGACATGTTGGAGATAATAAAAATTGAATTTTGCTGAACTTATCGCGCAGCGTTGACAGAAAAGTGTTCATTGTATTTGCAGGCTTTTATTTCTACAAGCAACAGTTTCTTACTGTAATAACACCAATTCGGTTGGGTAGATTTACTGTATAGGGACGTCCTGTTTGAACTCTATTATATGTAAGGGAAATAGACAACTAGTGTATAAATGGGAGAAATTTTGAGGCATCCAAGGGAGACATATATGTCATAAATCAAAGTATTGAAATTTGAGACGGCTTCCGTTTTTTTGTTCGGGTCAAGGTCAACACCAGACTATATTAAGCGCGCGTAGGTTTATAGCGCCCTGGTTGAATGTTCAAAACTTCGTAAGTAGATTTACAGCCATGCCTTCGCCTAGAGATAACAATCGTTTTAGCACTGTGAAGGTAGCCGCGGATTGGGCCCCAGATTCGGTCTTAGATTGGGCCTCACATTCAACTGTATTCAATTATTCAAAAGTAGATTATTTGAACCCCTGGCGGCTACTTTTAAGGTATTTTTTACTTTAATAAAGGGTATTGGCAACAAAAAATTTTATTGCTTCACCTGAAAGAGCATGGAAAAATAAGCCGATTGGCCGTTTAATGCTCTATTCTATCTCATCTAGTTCCGAAGTTATACGCAGAAATGTGCAAAATATAAGTTGCTGATTCAGCACAACGTGTGATGTCATTGGTTGGGTAAGTATGTTTAATGAATACTAAACTGAAGCATAGCTCAGTTATTATGAACCCAAATCAAATGAAATTTTGCATACTGATTGTACATGATGAGATGGATTGAAAAACACCTCCAATTTTGTTGCCAAGGTAACAATGTCGTTCCCAGGCCCCTTGCGCCAATTTTATAAAACAGCTTTATTCATGGTACTTATAAGAATAAAGTAATATCAGAAGTATGTGTACCATACCTATGTATGCCAAAAGTTTACTTGCATGACAATAATTCGAAAATGACATACACATAGATAAATGCAACTAGTTATTCAAAATCAGTGTAAGGGGCCTGGGAACGACTGTTTTGCCTTGACAACTAAATTAGAAGTATTTTCCCATGCGTCTCATCATGTACTGTCTGTATGCAAAATTTCATTTGATTTGAGCCAATAATAACTGAGCTATGCTTCAGTTTACTATTCAATAAACATACTTACCCAACCAATGCCGTCACAGGTTGTGCTGAATCAGCAATTTATATTTTGCACATTTTTGCGTATAACTTCGGAACCAGGAGAGATAGAATAGAGCAGTAAACGGCCAATCGGCTTATTTTTTCATGCTCTTTCAGATAAAGCAACAAATGTTTTTTATTGCCAATGTCCTTTAATTAAATTAGCAGTAACATGAGCAATGCAACGTATCTATCGTATGCGGGGCATAAAATAGGAAAATAAGCTGTTTTGTGGGAGATATTGAACATTTAAGACACTGCATTTACTTGTTCGATCAGTATGTTTCAGATTAATAAACTTTAATTTCGATATCGATATTTGACGAAATTCAGCAAACATATGGTAATGTT